TTGTTTATTCCACCTACAGCATATACATGTACTTATCTATCCTTGTTTATTCCACCTACAGCATATACATGTACTTATCTATCCTTGTTTATTCCACCTACAGCATATACATGTACTTATCTATCCTTGTTTATTCCACCTACAGCATATACATGTACTTATCTATCCTTGTTTATTCCATCTACAGCATATACATGTACTTAGCTGTCCTTGTTTATTCCACCTACAGGATTTACATGTACTTAGCTGTCCTTGATTATTCCATCTACAGCATATACATGTACTTGGCTGTCCTTGTTTATTCCTCCTACAGCATATACATGTACTTAGCTGTCCTTGTTTATTCTACCTACAGCATATACATGTACTTATCTATCCTTGTTTATTCCACCTACAGCATATACATGTACTTATCTATCCTTGTTTATTCTACCTACAGCATATACATGTACTTGGCTGTCCTTGTTTATTCCACCTACAGCATATACATGTACTTAGCTGTCCTTGTTTATTCCACCTACAGGATTTACATGTACTTAGCTGTCCTGGATTATTCCATCTACAGCATATACATGTACTTGGCTGTCCTTGTTTATTCCTCCTACAGCATATACATGTACTTATCTATCCTTGATTATTCCACCTACGGCATATACAGGTACTCAGCTGTCCTTGATTATTCCACCTACAGCATATACACGTACTCGGCTGTCCTTGATTATTCCATCTACAGCGTATACATGTACTCAGCTGTCCTTGATTATTCCACCTACAGCATATACACGTACTCGGCTGTCCTTGATTATTCCATCTACAGCATATACATGTACTTGGCTGTCCTTGATTATTCTGTCAGAAGAATATGCTTGACTATCCAGGATTATTCCATCGCTAGAATATATATGGCTATCGTTAATTATTCTGGCAGCAGAATATGATTGGCAATACAAATGTACTTGATTATTTCATCAGTAGAATATACTCAAATTTTCCTATTAATTCCGTTAGAAGACTATACAATGTTATCCTTGATTTCCTGTTTATTTTAATCACATTTTCTAGATTATTCCGTCAGTAGAATATACTTGATTACCCTTCATTATTGTGTTAGTAGAATATCCTTTGCTATCTGTGATCTTCCATCTGTAGAATATCCTTTGTTATCTGTGATAATTTCATCTGTAGAATATCCTTTGTTATCTGTGATCATTTCATCTGTAGAATATCCTTTGCTGTGATCATTTCATCTGTAGAATATCCTTTGTTATCTGCGATCATTTCATCTGTAGAATATCCTTTGTTATCTGTGATCATTTCATCTGTAGAATATCCTTTGTTATCTGTGATAATTTCATCTGTAGAATATCCTTTGTTATCTGTGATCTTTCATCTGTAGAATATCCTTTGCTGTGATCATTTCATCTGTAGAATATCCTTTGTTATCTGTGATCATTTCATCTGTAGAATATCCTTTGTTATCTGTGATCATTTCATCTGTAGAATATCCTTTGTTATCTGTGATCATTTCATCTGTAGAATATCCTTTGTTATCTGCGATCATTTCATCTGTAGAATATCCTTTGCTGTGATTATCCTTTGCTGTGATCATTCCATCTGTAGAATATCCTTTGTTACCAGTGATAATTTCATCTGTAGAATATCCTTTGTTATCTGTGATAATTTCATCTGTAGAATATCCTTTGTTATCTGTGATCATTTCATCTGTAGAATATCCTTTGTTATCTGTGATAATTTCATCTGTAGAATATCCTTTGTTACCAGTGATAATTTAATATATAGAATATCCTTTGTTATTTGCGATCATTTCATCTGCAGAATATCCTTTGCTATTTGTGATCATTCCATCTGTAGAATATCCTTTGTTATCTGTGATAATTTCATCTGTAGAATATCCTTTGTTATCTGCGATCATTTCATCTGTAGAATATCCTTTGCTGTGATCATTTCATCTGTAGAATATCCTTTGCTGTGATCATTTCATCTGTAGAATATCCTTTGCTGTGATCATTTCATCTGTAGAATATCCTTTGTTATCTGTGATCATTTCATCTGTAGAATATCCTTTGTTATCTGTGATAATTTCATCTGTAGAATATCCTTTGCTATCTGCGATCATTTCATCTGTAGAATATCCTTTGTTATCTGTGATCATTTCATCTGTAGAATATCCTTTGTTATCTGTGATCATTTCATCTGTAGAATATCCTTTGTTATCTGTGATCATTTCATCTGTAGAATATCCTTTGTTATCTGTGATCATTTCATCTGTAGAATATCCTTTGTTATCTGTGATCATTTCATCTGTAGAATATCCTTTGTTATCTGTGATCATTTCATCTGTAGAATATCCTTTGTTATCTGTGATCATTTCATCTGTAGAATATCCTTTGTTATCTGTGATCATTTCATCTGTAGAATATCCTTTGTTATCTGTGATCATTTCATCTGTAGAATATCCTTTGTTATCTGTGATCATTTCATCTGTAGAATATCCTTTGTTATCTGTGATCATTTCATCTGTAGAATATCCTTTGTTATCTGCGATCATTTCATCTGTAGAATATCCTTTGTTATCTGCGATCATTTCATCTGTAGAATATCCTTCGCTATCCGTTATCCATGATTTTCTGTCAGTGGAATATTAATGTTTACTCAGTCATAGTGTATAGTTAGCTATCCCTCATTATATTGAAATAAACTTTAAAATGGTTGACTAGGTACTGTTGATTCCTACAGTATACCATAGTCATACCCCCAGTGTACTACTTTCTGTACCTACAGAAATTATCAATATAATGGCTGAAGTTTGTTTCACAATTGTCATGAAATAAATAAATAAACTTGAATGGAAATTTTTGAAGAACTGGCATATTTTCTTCTACAGGACCGAAAAACCCTTTCAGCATACTATAAATCATTGTTAATATTTTTATACAAATACAGCTGCTGCATCTTCCAAATACACTGCATATTTACTACATACAATAAATTAAAATTTGTAATGTACCAAATCAAAATAATCAACAAAATTTGTGATTGTACAAAATACTGGCATTCGAAACAAGAGGCCCATGGGCCTTAACAGTCATCTGACTACAGAAACTTGCAGAACGGAGAAGGGTTATTTTTTTTACTGTGAATGAAATCTTACTTACATGTTTTCCATGATGCAGATGGTGAGGAGTAGGTAACTGTAACAAGTGTTACCTATTTTTTGACAGTAAAGTTGGAGCTCAATCCCGATGTTGAAACTTCAGAAGTTTGAAATAGGTATTGCACAGGAAAACTATGATTTAGCAATTAGGTTACAAAATGGCCTCCCTGGCTGCTGTATTGAAGTGTTGACAAGGTTAAAAGTTTGCTACCTTTCCTTAACTTTCACACCAAGTTTTAGCTCAATGACACCAGTGGAACTGGAGAAGAAGTATCAAATATGTTTTTCAAGATGGCGACCATGGCGGCCATCTTGGATTTCAAATATACCCAAAAAATAACAACACTTGGTCAGGACCACCTCAGGATCCTTTCATGCATGTTTGAGCTCAATCCCACTGGTGGAGCCTGAGTAGGAGAAATGTCAAAAGTTTACGCACGGCGGACAGCACACAGCGAACGACAATGGACGAAGCACGATGATTATAGGTCATCATGACCGTTTGGGTCAGATGACCTAAAAACATAGAATGATAAATAGAATATCTAACATCTTTTAATACAATTTAGTACAACAAATTTTGTAATCACAAACATCTATGTTATTATGTATTGCAAGATGAATACTGATAATACAAAAATTCAGCTTGTAACAAGAAACATTGTTTTCTCATATAGTCGGTCATGCTTTTCAACCTCATGTGACACTGCCAGGTAGGTGGTTTGATGATCCCTACTCAGGGCGTGTTTGTTTCTTAGGAACCTAGCAAACAGATTGAGCTGTGCTGTAAAATTGTAGTTGTCTTCTCGGGTAAGATACATTACCTAATTTGCTTTGGATGACATGTGACAGATGGACCTTTCATATGTTGTTTGGTGAGGTAGCCACAAACCCCTATCAGAACAATGTTGCAAGAATGATCTTGTCTGGGGTGATAAATTCACAAACGGTAAACAAATATTTCGTCTGATTTTCTTCTCCAACAGGGTGAAAAAAAAAAAAAATTTAAAACACAATATTTCTTACCTAGTCATCTATCTCTGAAATCCAAAACTGCAATGTCATGAAGCAAAACTTTTATGAATCTAATTCACAAACGGTAGAAAGACATTCACTGTCTCAGGTTTAGGCAATAATTGAGAAAGTAATATGATACTTTAAGGGACTGAAATATATTTCAACCATGATCAGTAGACAGTGCAGTTTTTAAAACCTTATTCTTTGGAGCATGTCAATTCATTATGTGTAAACATTTATATGTACATTCCATTGTATTTAATATATTACAAAATGTAAATAAAGTATGTGTTCACTCAAAATCCACATATACAAACTTTTACATTTTACAAAGGTTGTCTACTTATATGAAAAATTGCATCTATAAAAGTAAATGCCCTGATGGTAAATTAAAAATCTAATTTGTGTATGAACAAATAAGAAAATACAATTTCTCAAGGCATTCCAACCAATAACAAGCAAACAGTGCCATGTACTACATATGTCACACGATCTATATTAACAGGGAATATCACAGCTCTGTGGTGCTATGATTACAATAAAAGTTTATCAGATAACCATGTACCTTTTTTAAGGTAAATTCAAACCAATGTCAATAAAATGTCACTAGACATCACTTGGCTGGCAAACGGTCATATTTACCCTGATATCATAGATCTCCTTAACAAGGTTGTTGTTATATTCAATGAATAAATTCTAATGGATGTGTTTTAAGTTCCATTTTGTATCTGATTCTGCTGTAAGCAAACTTGTCAGTATACAAATCAAACAACTTTCAATTACAAATATTTCTAAATGTCACCTTTATAATAGTTTCAGCATTTTCAAAAACCATTGAGGAAATTGTTCAATTAAGATGATTCTGCTGATAACACTTTAAATGGGTATATCATAACATAGTAAATTCACTGCTTCACTCATCCTAGCTATGATCAGGCCACCCCCTGTATCAGCCTTAGCCTCTTCCCATCAAATGGAGTCTCATCCTGGCACTCCCTTTTAAGACTCTGTATGCCATTCCCCAATCCCCCACAGCCAGGGTCACCTCTTTCAACTACTCCTATATCCCTGTCCCTCCTTATCACCTCAGTCATTGATCTGCATTCTTCTACAATTTCCTTATCACAAAGTATTCTCATGTCCTTTCTCGGTATAGTGTCAGCGTTGTTTCCATGGTGATTATTTACATTCTCTAACTCACAGTAAGAGTTCTCTGAATCCTCTGAATGCAGTAATGCTTTTTGATCTTTAGCCTTGACCTCTGTTGACACCAAACTGCTGCCCTGACCCCCAATAGGGACCTCCACACCAATATTGGACATCCCTGATCCCCAGCCTTGCTTTGTAACCTTGTTGTTGTTGACTTTGCTGTTCAAGCTGTTTACATCAGGACTCTCTGAAGGAACTCTATCAGCCTTCTGTTCTTTTCGCTCCTCAAACACGATCATAAGTTTCCGGGTCTGAAATTGATATAACTGTTGATAAAAGCATATTTCTAGAGGAATAATTAATGAGGAATCTGCAACAAAACTGTATTTCTGACAACCAAGTTAGGAATACTGCATTATTTGTACTGTTAAAGTTTAATAGATATTGAACACATATCTTGAGTTTTATTAGGAGATACACAGGTACTAGTTTAATATGATATTGCTATTGATGGCATCACATTACCATATTGTCTGCTACAATACACCTCAGTGGCAAGCACATCTTTGACTCAAAGTAGGAAGGTGGGAAAGCTACTGCATTTATTAGCATTTCTACAACAACTGCAACTTATGTAGGTAAGCATATATCATGTCACAGATGGCATGAACATAGCACAAAATGTTATAATATTTCATTGGCTAACTTCAGAGAAAAAAGTTTGTTGCTTGCATTAAAGTACACAGTGATACTGGTACACAAAGTACACTATGTATGAGAAGTACATGATTTTATCTCACCTGTTCATCTATACATCCAAACTGCCATGGCCAAGCTGCATTGTATAGAAACTGACGATGGTCAAATCTGTTGTCATCTGGACTGTAGGACTCGGCATGATAGGACGGAGTCAGGGTCGTCATCTTGTGACGGTTGATAGCATAACAACGAAAGAAATGCTTCACCTTCTGAGCAATCTGTTGTAAACAGAAAACTAGACTTCAGTGCAAGAAATAATTGTCTTAACGAACACCTATTTGCCTAGGTGTAACAAGTTTGTAGAACCTGCTCAGGTGACTACAGTACATTGTTACCATCTGTTGCACTTTTTTCTACAGTCTTTTCATCATCTCGTTGCACCATTTTTGACCTTAGTGTACATAGGTTTGAATAAAAAAAAGTTGGTCAGTTCCTTACTATTTTGTACACATCAAATTCAGTGGTAGAACATTTTATGCTGGTCTTTTGTCTGACGAAGGTGACAATGTAGTCATCGAAACATGACACTAAAATCTTCTGCTTGTGTTACAAGAACTTCTGTTCTAGTAAGTATGCTGATCCTTATCTGCTGAGGTGGACACCTATTTGCTCAGGTAATATATGAACCAATTTTTAAACCTTTACTTCTTTGAGTGAACATCTATTTGTACAGATATAAAGCAGTTTGGAAAACCTTACCTGTTGAAGTAAACATCTCTTTGCTCAGGTATGAACAAGTTTGCAGACCCTTACTTATTCAGGTGAACACCTGATCAGCAACATTTGAATGAACCAGTTTGGAGAACCTTACCTGCTCAGGTGAACACCTGTTTGCCCAGGTATGAACCAGTTTGGAGAACATACTGTAAGGACCACACTGGTTCTGTTTCCTTAGACGACCATAAATAGACAACTCTTCATAAGTCATCCCCATATCTTCCTAAAAACCATAAAATCAATAAAAACCAGTCATTTCCTGTTTTAGGTATTGAGTTGTACACAAGATGTATATCAACCATTCCAATATAACAGTACATATCAAGTCTTTATGACATGATGGACATTTCAAGGTGTGTTTTAGCTGTACCATGTGTTTTAGCTGTGCCATGTGTTTTAGCTGTGCCATGTGTTTTAGCTGTACCATGTGTTTTAGCTGTGCCATGTGTTTCAGCTCTGCCATGTGTTTTAGCTGTGTGCCATGTGTTTTAGCTGTGCCATGTGTTTTAGCTGTGCCAGGTGTTTTAGCATCACCATATTACGTAGTTTCAATTATGTGCAAAATGTTTCAGTCTTTTCTGATGTAATTCATTCATATCTGATGGTTTTCAGTTTGGTTTGATGTGTGTGACCTGTTCTGATGTGTATAAGTCTTTTCTAATATTTCAGTTTGGCTTGATGTGATGTGACCTGTTCTGATGTGTATAAGTCTTTTCTAATATTTTCAGTTTGGCTTGATGTGATGTGACCTGTTCTGATGTGTATAAGTCTTTTCTAATATTTTCAGTTTGGTTTGATGTGTTGTGACCTGTTCTGATGTGTATAAGTCTTTTCTAATATTTTCAGTTTGGTTTGATGTGTTGTGACCTGTTTTGATGTGTATAAGTCTTTTCTAATATTTTCAGTTTAGCTTGATGTGGAGTGACCTGTTCTGATGTGTATAAGTCTTTTCTAATATTTTCAGTTTAGCTTGATATGGAGTGACCTGTTCTGATGTGTATCAGTCTTTTCTAATATTTTCAGTTTGGTTTGATGTGTTGTGACCTGTTCTGATGCGTACAAGTCTTTTCTAATATTTTCAGTTTGATTTGTTGTGACCTGTTTAAGCCTTACGTTTTAAGTTGGGTTGGTTTAAGTCTTGTCAGGAATACTTTTTCCTCAAAAGATATATTTCTACCTTCTATTTGCATTTTCCTTTGTCATACCTGTCTCGGATTTTCTCTCCAACTTAGTCTTCATTAAAATATATTTCTTTACTTTAGATATTTTGATTAAACAGAATTATTCATAAACAAACTTTGGCTGATGAAGCATATCATCATAAGTTTAAGTTATACTGATATTTGTTGTAATTTACCGGCCTGATGGTACAGTAATGATATATAAAGATGGAGCTGCTTTAGGTTAATTTGGAAGGATACAAAAGTATATGATTAGTTTGGAGCTGGTTTTAAGGCAACAGTCCAATAAATACAGAATGAAGTCGCTAGAGCGCTGATAATGATTTTCTGAAAATAGTTACAGTAATCATGACCTTGAGTCAACAACTATGAACCTGAACTTGTCAGAGAGATGATTGTGTTTGTAATGAAACCACTAGAGCGCTAACAATCTTTAGTGTTATGAACAAACACAGACAGACAGATGGAGAGGAAATCTTCAGTAACATCCCCCCACCCCTAATTGTCACTCATGTATTATTAGCAGATTGTTGTTTTTAATGAGGATGGTCTGAGTATGTCATCGTTTTCATATCATCCTGTGACACACCATGACTGTCAGATCATGTGATAATGAATAACATCATACATATACATTTATTTTCACATGAAAAGTTGTAAATTGCATTTATGGGGAAAGGAAATGTTTATGTAAAAGGTTTCAATTTCTAAAGCAAACATAGTAATTTGTTTTGAAAAAGACTATAAATTTATGTATATGTATATGTAGTTCATTTATCATTAGCTGCATCTCCATTTCAGACTTATGTAACATTGATTGCTGTGTCTCCATTTCAGACTTATGTAACATTGATTGCTGTGTCTCTATTTCAGCCTTATTTAACACTGATTGCTGTGTCTCCATTTCAGCCTTATTTAACATGGTTTTGTCTCCATTTCAGCCTTATTTAACATTGACTGCTTTGTCTCCATTTCAGCCTTATTTAACATTGATTGCTGTGTCTCCATTTCAGTCTTATTTAACATTGATTGCTTTGTCTTGTGACATCAATGTTATGACAGAGAGGGTCACTCAATAACAAACTAGAGTTATCCCAACAGAACTAAAAGAGGCCTCAATAACTCAGTGGACAGAGTGTCATATAGCATTACTTGACAAGTCTGAGGAGGACCAAATGCTGCATGATGTAATTCAAATGATCATTAAGCTCTTTGTATATAATTCTTAATTTGTATTGAAAAGTCCCATTCACTTGTACAATCAGTGCAACCTCTTGTGGAGATCCATGGTGAGTGGTTTAATCTATTCTGTTTTCAAGAAACCTGGAGAGTTCAGTGTAGTACACTCAGAAAAAAATGCTATGATAACTAATCATACATGTACATGATCTTTCATAATCAGGTATATTAAGAACCATTGTAATGTACACAACATAGGCTGTTGTATTACCAAAGGACATCACTATAGAAGAATTTGTAAAACCTTTCATGTATACTCTAAATTCACTTTGCATAGTCAAATGTGCTTAGAGAAATATTTTTTACAGTTACAACATAACTTATAGAGCAGAAAAAGTCAAGATTACAAAGTGTCTGGAGCAAATATTCAAGTGGCATAACTCCAGCATGGAATTGCAACTTCTTATATATAGATATATATATATATATATATATCAGTGTAACTTGTATTTAGCAGACCAGCAAGAATGGAATGAGAGATAGATGGACAGGAAAGACAGATGAACTGGAAGGCACCTATAGGTCAAGACACAGTGTAAATGTTGCTGTTTATACCTAAAATTGCTAAAAAGAAACGGAAAACAAACATCGAAGCCTATTTCAGCCTAAAAAGTCCAAGGCTACAGCCCCCTCCCCATACCCTCCCAACACATTATTCCCTTCTGGTCAACCATCAACTCCACCACTCAAGGCTTCAGCCCCCTCCCCATACCCTCCCAACACCCTTCTGGTCAACCATCAACTCCACCACTCAAGGCTACAGCCCCCTCCCCATACCCTCCCAACACCCTTCTGGTCAACCATCAACTCCACCACTCAAGGCTTCAGCCCCCTCCCCATACCCTCCCAACACATTATTCCTTCTGGTCAACCATCAACTCCACCACTCAAGGCTACAGCCCCCTCCCCATACCCTCCCAACACATTATTCCTTCTGGTCAACCATCAATTCCACCACTCAAGGCTACAGCCCCCTCCCCATACCCTCCCAACACATTATTCCCTTCTGGTCAACCATCAATTCCACCACTCAAGGCTACAGCCCCCTCCCCATACCCTCCCAACACATTATTCCCTTCTGGTCAACCATCAACTCCACCACTCAAGGCTACAGCCCCCTCCCCATACCCTCCCAACACCCTTCTGGTCAACCATCAACTCCACCACTCAAGGCTACAGCCCCCTCCCCATACCCTCCCAACACCCTTCTGGTCAACCATCAACTCCACCACTCAAGGCTACAGCCCCCTCCCCATACCCTCCCAACACATTATTCCCTTCTGGTCAACCATCAACTCCACCACTCAAGGCTACAGCCCCCTCCCCATACCCGCCCAGCACATTATTCCCTTCTGGTCAACCATCAACACCACCACTCAAGGCTACAGCCCCCTCCCCATACCCTTCCAACACCCTTCTGGTCAACCATCAACTCCACCACTCAAGGCTACAGCCCCCTCCCCATACCCTCCCAACACCCTTCTGGTCAACCATCAACTCCACCACTCAAGGCTACAGCCCCCTCCCCATACCCTCCCAACACATTATTCCCTTCTGGTCAACCATCAACTCCACCACTCAAGGATTGGTCCTAGAGTAGTAAATGCAATAAAAAGTTTCTAAAGATGTTTCCTTAAACAAGTGGTCTTTTCATGGGGTAGCTCTTTTAAGAAAATTCATTTCACATTTTTTTTTCATCAAGTACTTTTTCATTTGAAATGGCAACTTACTTCATCTGTTTGAGCAAGCTGACCATTGGATAGGGGTTCCAACTCAGCTGTTGGAGGAGCTTCATAGATCCTGTAACAAAAAGAAGTCAATTTTCATGTCCAGGTAAAGCTTCATTTGAATCCTAAATGTTACAGTATAACTTCATCTGGAAATGTTATCAAAGGAAATTCAAATCTGATTGTGTCAGTTGTTTAACATTCACAGCCTTGTTAAAAAAATTTGCAAGATTAGTTTCATGTTTTGAAATATTTACATATAGTTTACAAATATTTTGCTGTGGCTGGACTTACTTCAACAAATTCATGCAGTTTTTGTTTTACATTAAACTTTCTCTGCATTCCTCTAGGTAAAGTATACTTTTGTAGTTTGTATCAATCAGCATTTTTATCCTCAAATTTTAAAGATAAGTATGTTTCAAATGTTTCAAGTCAGAAAGCAATAAACCAGATTTCAAACAGAGATTTTCATAGTGAGCACCAAAAGATGCTCACACAATGCTCAGACATGTTGATATAAGATAACACAGTGTGTAATCACTACTCACTTTTCCAGCATGGTGAAGCCAAACTTATTGATACAATAACGTATGAAGCTCCTCAAGTCAGTCTTACTGATTCCACCTATTGGGTTGATATCAGCACTGGAACAGTCGTACTTGGTCATATATCCCCGCAGACTAGAAAGTATAAACCCAAAATTTCTCTCATCAGAAATCTTGTCTTAAATGTAGGAGAAGAGCTTAACAAATTCCTTTCATCACATCAGTTCATTTTTTTCAAAGATATTATCTTCTCAATCATTCATGATGATATTATTTATTCAACATCTTGTATTTAAGACCCTATAGGCACAATCACCAATACTGTTTCTAGAAGATTCTCATCTCCAGAGAAAGGGAGATAACACCACCATCCCACTCAATATTCAGCAGGGGATATACCTAAGTTGGAGCATATTTCTATTGTCATTAAACTACACAGATTCTGAGGAAGTTTTACAAACTCACTGTAAAATGATACATTTCACGGGACTTAATTTTCATGGTTTTTAATAAAGCTACTTTTTCATGGCCACTTGATTTTGTCCAGTAAATTTAACTCAACAAATATGTGTATCCATGATATCACTGAAAATAAATCCCCCATGAAAATGATTTTACAGAGTACGTACAGAAAATATATCTACAGGTCACCACTCTAGACCCCCTAAACACAACAACTTAATGGTAAAGGCATTTTTATCAATAATCTTTTAAAGAAATATTTGATTGGCTGAAAACTTTACCCACACTTTCATAAAATCAAATCCATTACATACCTCTCATCCACATTGGCTGACCCTAGAACTAGAAGACCTCCAGACCGCCCTCTTGCCCACAAAACCAGCTGGGCAAACAGGTAGGCTAGAACCATCCGCACGCGTGCCTATAGAAACAAAACCCACATGCACCATAATTGTAAATTAGGGTATAATTGTTTTTGTGGGGTATTTATTTTCATTGATTTCATATATACTCCTAATCCACGAATTCAAATGTCCACAAATTGTTCAAATCTGTACTTATAAAGTATGTAATACATATGTATATTTGTAAAATTATACATATGCTCAAAGTTTATATTTTGAATGTTATGTGAAAAAACAAGATTTCCAATATTGTCATTTATCTTAGCATTTTTATTGATCAAGTATCAATTTTCAAAAGTAAGCTGTTGATACTTTGATCTAACAGGGTATTTAAATCCAATCATTTTGCTGGTCAATCAATAGTGAACCAAAACATTTTGGTGAAATAAAAATATGAAAAATATTACATTTTGACAAGACATAATTTATAGATAAAGTTTCAAGGTACCTGCACATTCTGTAAAGCCAGGTTTTCCCGAGGGCTTCCTCCCATGGCCTTGAATCTTGGCACTAGTTTTAATGTTGCTGTAAATATGCTAAGGAATGCTGCTACAGCAACATCTATACAGATTGTCAGGTGGAAACTAGACAACATCAAAAAAAGGGAGATAAAGAGACTATTCTGTGAGAGTGAAGTTTGATGTGCTGAATTTACAGCATATGTGTCAAAGGGGAGATAATTCAAGTCATAATCAATGCAGATCAGTTGCTAAAGTAAGTACACATGTTCAAGACCTCAACTCTCAAATTTATATTCAAAATATAGACTTCCATATATGAATTAAAAAGTGCCTGTCTGACTCCTTTTCCCCACGATTCCCTCTGCTACAAAATTAATTTTCTGTCTGTCACCACCAACATTACATTCAAAGAGCTCCAACCTTCATACACTGATCTATTTAGGTCAGAGTAACCTTGACCTACATACCTGCCAATCTGCTTAGCCAGCCCTGCTGCTCTGTCCCGAGTCTCTTGGGAGCTATTTTCTGATCCCATGTAACAGGTGGTAAACACCTTGTTAGCAAGTTCTCGGGGGTCTACAGGAACATAAGCCCGATCTCCAATGATACGTCGTATATCAGACAACACCTTGGTATCTATAAATGGAAAATTAAACTGTTTTGGTTAAGATGTTTCCAATTTATATCCAATTTTAATTAAAACTTTACACATATACAGATTTTATCCTGCAATAAACCCAAAGAACCATCACATAACCTTTCATTAAAAGTCCACACTGAAGTAAAGTAGGGTCAGAAATTCTGCTACAGCAATGAACATGGGAGGGCATTTTACCAGAAATGAGATTTTTCAGGACTATTTTTACAATATAGTATTGAAGACCATAAAAATTCTTGCTCATTGTACAAGCTCAGTCATTTTGTTCTAGACACAGAGAAACGTGCTGTTCCTTCTCATCCCTGCATTCCACTTTTTTCGGCTTTAAACACCGGAAATATTATCATGATTTAGAGTTACTATACCTTACCTCCATGCTTAACAGCATCACATATCTTGTGGCACATAGAGGCCACAATACAAGCTGTACTGGAGCTGTCAATGCCACCACTGAGTGGTAAGAAGAAGCCACCCTGGCCACTACGTCTCAGATAGTCCCACAGCCAACAGGCAGGCCCGTTACTGTAACACATCATCATGTTTAATTATCATACACTATAACTTGTATACCAATAAAGTGGTAGCATTATGTGTTTACTGAAATATTTGTATTGTCTATAGACAAATGTGAGTAAAAAGAAACCTATCAACAGACAAACACTAAAACTTCAGAAAATCCTTAAAAAAAATGAAGAAAAATGAGTAGGGGCCGATATATTACACACATCCCCAAATTTCTTTCTTTCATTTAAATCTTTGGTCAAGGGTTACATTTGATCTTTAACCTTGACTGATGACCACCAAACTCTTATCAGGTGTGAATCTTGGTGGGATGATGTTATGTTGTGAATATGAATTAAATCTGAACAGGGGAGATATGGTGTACCCAAGGTTATCCTATACAAACACACACTGATGGGGTGATACAGAAGTAATGAAAATAAAATTACCTTTCTGACGATATGAGATTTTAGATCATTCATTAAAGGTTTACATATATAATGTATATATAACGAGGCTAAGGCTGGTCACTTGTAAACAAAACACTTTCGATTACCAGTGTAAATAAGTATTTAATCTGTATCTGATAGATCTACAAATGTTCAAATATTGTAGCCATATCATCTGATACTAGAAATAGTATCCACACTTAACTAATGGATCAGGTCCTCCTACCAAATTGTACCTTATTTCCTCCTCAGCAGTACAATATTGCCACTCCAGGATATCTGTTGTGGGTTTAAAGAAATCACTGTTTGTCAATGCAAAATCACAATGAATCCTAGGATATGATGTACTTTGTGATCCCTAAAACAAAAACAAAATATATTGTAATATCCAGCAGAAATCCTAAAGATCCTTTCAAAAAGACTGTAGGTGAAAACCATCATATGGATAAAGTGTATTTATTCTACAATAAGCAGCGGGGGGCAAAACATATTTCAGAGCCCTGATATATGCATCAATTGGTAAATTTACGATATGCAGAAGTTTTCTGATATAACTTCCACATTATGCAAAGATAAGATTAAAGCATACTTCAGCTGAGTAATATTTAATAAAAAAAAAACGTTGTGGGGATATGAAACAAATAAAAGTAGGTCCCATACTTAAGCTGAGTAATATTTAATAAAAAAAAAAAACCTTGTGGGGATATGAAACAAATAAAAGTAGGTCCCATACTTAAGCTGAGTAATATTTAATAAAAAAAAAAAACCTTGTGGGGATATGAAACAAATAAAAGTGGGTCCCATACTTAAGCTGAGTAATATTTAATAAAAAAAAAAAACCTTGTGGGGATATGAAACAAATAAAAGTAGGTCCCATACTTAAGCTGAGTAATATTTAATAAAAAAAAAAAACCTTGTGGGGATATGAAACAAATAAAAGTGGGTCCCATACTAAAGCTGAGAAATATTTAATAAAAAAACCTTGTGGGGATATGAAACAAATAAAAGTGGGTCCCACTTAAAATACATGTACAAAAACCAATGTTATACAAAGTTCAGAAGGCTGTCACCAAAAAATATGTGATTAATCTTAATACTCATATGGACAGGTAAAGTCACAGGTGCTACTTGTTTTTTTGTGACATCATAACACAGAGAGAATACAGGTGTATAGTCATTCAAGGGCTCACTGTGTAGTCTGAATATGGCATATCCCTGTTTATAGTAAATACCAACCTCTAACAGAAATGCCTAAGGGATTCTTACAAATTTGGTTTGGTGAAGATTGTTCATGGTGGCAAGTTTACAAAACGTGAATGTAAACAGCTTTTATATTGATACTAATGCATGATATCGTGTTGAGTATTTCTCAGATAATTAAGGTTTTATTAACGATATGAATAAATAAGATTTTCTCTTTACTTTTTTTTAGTAAAAGCTGTGTATATTGGGAGATTCAGAAAGGGAGATTAGCTTATTAAATATATAGTATGTGCTAACATTGCAGGTGTCTTAGATGAACATGAGACCATTCTCATGCTTAAGCATAAAATACCCAATTTCCTTTAAACTCGCTTAGATCATAAAATAGCAGCTGAAAAGAAAAAACTATTATACATTGAAAATCTTACTTTAAGTCTTTTTGAAATATTTCAAAGCACTGAAAAATTATAAATTCCGATATCAGATTTATCACCAAAGTATTGGAGTCTGAGCACAAAATGTGTATTTGGGCACAAGTACATGAATATGCATCCTGGTCTTATTTCATCAATACGTTTCAATTGTCTCTATATACTTCTTCCTTTATCTTCATCTTGCTCTCATTTCATTGATCTCAAGTATAAATTATTAACACATTTTTTTTTCTTGTTGCTATTGAAATTGCCATTTTGTGATTAGACTAACTACCAGGCTTTGGATTTATGCCAGTAAAAAGCCGGTACTCTCCATCAATCTAATTCTCAGAATGGTCAACACTCACCCTTAAAGAATGACTCCGTAGAGAGTTCCTATAGCCTCTTACGTCTTCTAGGTCAATCGTGGCAGTGTTCACAATCTAAAATTATCACAAACTTTTAAACAAATAAACTTTCAAATAAATCTGTTGCTACCATCTTAGGAGTGTTTCATGTATTTTCTGGATTTAACATCCAATTAACAGGCATATATAAATGTCTATTTTAGTAGTGTGTCAGGATACTCCTAAATATTTTACCACAGTGTTTACAATTGTGTCACCATAAGTTTACTATGGAGGTAATTCAACCAGGACAGGTCATTCACATACCTGAAGTTATAACAAGAGAATGTCATACTAATTTAGGGATAATTTCTCAGGTTTTAGTATATAGTATCAGTATTACTAAAGGGGACTTCTGTATCTGCAGTGTAATAGGAAAGTATAAGTGTGGTAAGGTGAAGGGGTGTAGTGTGTTCTTCATGGGTTTTTGTTTGTTTGTTTTGCTTGGATTGTAAATAAAGGTATATACGTTTCGTTTTGGTTTGCTGGTTGTTAATTCGGATGAGCCAATTTCCCACACTGATGCTCAAGATGGCTTGATTTTTTAAAGAAATGCCAAAAACATATACAGTATATGTAATGCTTGTTTATTGATAACACCCCGGTACGAATGCATGACCACTCAGTGATCTAAAGCGTGACCTGCTGTTCAATATCGAAATATTTCTTACCACTTCCTGTACGGAAAACTGAGGCCCCTGGGAAACCATTTGACCATTTACAGCGATGGCCGAGCCACCATCATAGTAAGTGCGTTCGCCATCACATCCAATATGGTTGGAAAACATGTACACACCTCCACACTGTAAACAAAAGAAAGATTTTAAATGTGAGTAGGTATCTTCACGCAGTAAGAAAATCACAAAATTATCTTAAACCAGATGTAAAGAAATCTTAATTTTAGAGAAGCAGAAATCTTAATCTTAACAGCAGCAGGAATCTTAGCCTTAAGAGAAGAAATATTCATGTAGACATCTTAAAAACAAAAATATCATTGACTCTTAAACAAGTAGAAGTCTTAAAAGGCAGAAGTCTTAAACAATAATAGCACCACCAAAATAAATGCCCGCCTCATACCAAAGAAACATTCAGTATTTCACCTATTGAAAAGAATGCAAAAATGGAAATGGTAGGTATTAATGAAAATGTCAAGCAAGACATAATCTGTGCTACATGTTTTAAGTAAAAACCAATGCTTACCCAGTTTTAAAGAGATGGGTGTAAATCTGAAATATCTGCTAAGATTAAAATATAATGTTTATAAGAAATACAAATATCTATATACAGAGAGACAGACAATGCTATACCATAATACGTATCATCAAAGTTTTTGACAAGGTACAAAACAAATGTTTAAAGACCATTAAATGCTGTTGAAAATTAGAGCAATAAGGACTATAAAAGAATGTAAATAAAGGGGACAACTGACATACTGTACCTTCATGGTGGCTGACTTAATGAGGTCGACTCTGATGTAGGATTTTCTCAGTTCATGGTGACTACCACTGCCATTGGTGATGATCTCCACACCGTCCAGACTCATATCAATGTGCTGACTGTAACAGAGGTAAATACAACCAGAATTCAAAAATACAAAGCAGCAAAGCTTATATCTTGCCAGATGGACTTATGCATTTCAACAGCATCAATAGTGTATTGCACCTGAAAATATTGCACAAAAAGTTACCCATCAATAACATGTAAATGGCATGTTATTTATGCTGTAAGCAGAAGAGGAAGGCACATATACTGGCACTCTGATAAGTAGGACAAGACACTGACCTGTGAGATGTCCATAGTTCCTCGCAGACTTCACTCCCAATACATGTGTCTAAAGTAGATATTACAGCATCTCCAATTGGTACTGTTTTCTGCGATTAAACAGGAAATTCTAAATCTGTGGTCCTCAGAGAATGACTTATAAGTCTGAGTCAGTTTCATTTTTTTTATTTATAGGAACAAATCTTCATTTTTCAAAGTCAACATTAAAAAATTCAACATTTATTGAAATCAAGCAGACATTCCAAAACCATTCTTTGTATCTTATTGTCTTTTCCTTTTCATGGAAATGGTTTTAATGCTGATGATTATGACAAAAATATGAAAAACGGAAGATGTTAGTAAAACATGCAAGCCCCCACCCAATCTCTACTGGAAATAGGTTACATCAGAAGTCAGAAATCTAATCAAACTTTCTGCTAATCGATTTAGGCAAGGAAAAGTAATTTACATTAGAAATGAGTCAGAAAATTCATATTTAAAAAAATAAGCTGTTTTACAGTTCAACTCCATAACCATTGTTTGAGGACCTCTAAACAAGATACAATGTCATATTTCAATAAGACCCAAGGACCAGACCTAAACACATCCTTAATATTCCAGGGGTTACGACCACTTTTGCTTCGCTCTCTGCAATCCTTTTAGAGTAAATCAAATGGATATCCACGTTACATAACAGTATATTGTAATGGCTTTAAAGTTGGGATGTTGCTTCTTTTGTAATCTTCAAAATGAGAGTATCAGCCTGTGATTGGTCATCTTTTTTATTAACCGATCAAATTACTTTGTCTGTGCCTTCAATTTTGCCATGGCATGTTCCAGGGGTGCAGAGAGCAAAAGTGATCAAAAGCCCTGGAGTAACGAGGATGACATGAAGTATAACCGATTATTTCATTCATGCAGTAAAGGTATAAGAAGTCTTATCAATTTAGTACTAAAAATTTAAGACTTATCAGATAAGAAAATTTTTCAAAATTCTGTTCTGTCTCAGTTTTAACTGTACTATCTCTATCGGTATCAAGTTCACTTAAAAGAATTATGTTTTTCCCAACTGATTAATCACTCTGAAAATTTTGAAAAATAAAAAGACTAAGTCACAGTCTGTTACCAAGGTACTGTTATAGATATCTGAGTTAATACCAGACCTGTCCTGTGATGTCCTGTATCATTCTGGGCAGATAGAAGTCCTCCACCATTTTACGCTTTGACCAACCAGTGAACCAGCGAGTCTCCCGGTAATTACCATCGTTGCATAGTGTTATCTTTGGGCGAATCAGGAGAATTTTTCTACAGAAAAATTTGGCTTTTCAATTAAAGATGCACTGTTTGAGAAGGTAAGTGAGATTAATTAATGAAAATTTCTTGTAATTTTTTTTTTTTTTTTTTGTGTAACCAGGAAATACACAACTAATAAGGACTTTAATTTCAACATTTAACTTATATAACATGTAATATTTTCACACATATGTATTGCTACAATTTCCTTTCCTCATATACAGTTTTAACATTACCTTAAACATTTCAGGTTCTCTTATTAACTCCTTTCCTGAATTTAACATATTCTGTTACATCCTTGATGTAACATAGATCTTACAGTCATCCCATCTCTAACCATTAATATTCTAGCTGAATCACTTTCCTCCCAGCCCTACCATAATCTCATACGAACAGAAAATATTTCTCCTGTAATAATGTTAGCATGGTTTGTTTACTGGGTTTATAGTGCAGCCAGGGACATTTTACAATGGGGTCTTGTGGTAGTAGCTGATAACTACCTTAATGAATTACATAAAGGAGTTCATCATGATCAAATGTCAGAGCAATGAATTTTCCGTTTTTGTTTTTCTTACATTCATACTTTCTCCTATCATTAAATGACTCTGATCTTAATGGTTTTTACTGTGGCTGTCTAAATATATTTCCTTTCCTTAAACCAGCTGAAGTCTCCCAATATAAGCCTAGTCTTTCCTGTCTCCATTACTGGTATAACGACACCATTGCAATAGTGTAAAACATCTAGATTCTATAATACTTACTTGTTAAGGAAAGTTATTCTGCAGTTGTAGGCAATATTTTTGTGCATAATAGGCCTGAAAATTACAAACAGATAATATGTACATAGAGGACCAAACAACATTTACCTGGCTGGTAATCAATATATAATCATCACAAACAATACTCTCTTAAATGGGACAAACCAGAACTGTGTTGGGACATCAAAGTGTTAATGACATGAAGTCCTCTAATTATAGCAACAGTGATGTAACAGAAAAAAAAATAGGTGATGTACAATGTACTATTACAAATGCCAGACAATGTTAGGGACTGAACAGCATTTGTCTGAATATCAGGGTGATCTTACAGGGCTCTCACACCTCATTTTGGGACTGGGGCCCGGGGCCCGGGGCCCTTAGAATTGGGAAAAAGAGCAGTGTTTTCCTTAGAATTGGGAAAACTTGGGGTCTAAATTGGGAAAAAAAGATACTATTTTGCATCGGCCCCAAATCTGGCAGATTGAGAGCCCTGACTTAACAGAGAGTAGGATCAAGCTGACACTTCCTTTATGGCTACTTTTGTCCATCTTTGCAGAGTTATTTGATTATTATGTATTTAACACTAAACAACCTGTATTTATATCCGAGAAGCCAGTTCAATACCTAAACATATCCAAATGATCAGACACCAAACATATGTACACAGTCACAGTACAATACACACCAATCAGATGTACACAGTCACAGTACAATACACACCAAGCAGATGTACACAGTCACAGTACAATACACACCAAGCAGATGTACACAGTCACAGTACAATACACACCAAGCAGATGTACACAGTCACAGTACAATACACACCAAGCAGATGTACACAGTCACAGTACAATACACACCAATCAGATGTACACAGTCACAGTACAATACACACCAATCAGATGTACACAGTCACAGTACAATACACACCAAGCAGATGTACACAGTCACAGTACAATACACACCAAGCAGATGTACACAGTCACAGTACAATACACACCAAGCAGATGTACACAGTCACAGTACAATACACACCAAGCAGATGTACACAGTCACAGTACAATACACACCAATCAGATGTACACAGTCACAGTACAATACACACCAAGCAGATGTACACAGTCACAGTACAATACACACCAAGCAGATGTACACAGTCACAGTACAATACACACCAAGCAGATGTACACAGTCACAGTACAATACACACCAAGTCACTTTATGACTGGTCAGTGGTCTGATTATTGAGAGGAAAGCAATCATGAAATGAAACTTAATTCATAACTTATCTTTAGGGTGTTTAAAGCAGATCCTAATCGTGAGGTGATCTTAACAAGAGGGCCATGGCCCTCAACGGTCATCTGACAATTGATGAAAGGATGGACAAACCACACAATTTACTGATGGTGGTCTTACAAATCTAATGAATACAAATTCTGAACATTCCTTGAAAGTATCAGAAACTCATAAATGATAGTTTCTGTCCATGAAAAGCAGTTGCACATGCACAATCATGTTACAAAATGGCTACTGTGGATACCATGTTAAAGTTTTAATCAGACTGAAAAACGACAACAAATCATCACATTCTTTTCCCCAAGAAATCAAATTCTAAATATTTTTCTCATCAGTATGAATGAAACTTGACAAGCAATTCAGACTACTTGTTCTAGATAAGCCATGATGGATTTTGGACCAAAATTAAAAAAATAAGATTTGGTCAGGACAATCTCAGGATTATATCATGCATGCTTGATATCATAGTGTCAATCCCTGATAATGTTTCAATCCAATTTTGACTGAAATCTACCTAGGCATTAAGAAGGAGTAGTGATTTTAAGCAAAATATTGACTAATTTTCCTATCTGAGGACCAGCCCGCTCCTGGGTCCAGAGGAGTCAAATGAATTTCCTGAATTTAATAACTGATTCCCCACCCAAAATGATGTTTCAGACCTAATTTGGTTGAAATATGCAAAGGCAATAAGCAGGCATGGTGTTTTAAAGAATTAGTTTATGGACTGCGGACAGCGCACAGCAACAGTCGATGCATGATAGCAATAGGTTATCTTGACCTATTGGGTCAGGTGACCTCAAAATGAGATGTCTTAATACAATGTAATGGACCATTCAAGACATGTAAATAGAGTAATATTCTGGGACTGAAATAAAGTAGTCTTAATTTAGAGGTGGTCTTAAAGTGAGGTTTCATTGTATATGGTCATGCATGTCATGTTTCTACCAGAAAAGAAATATTACTGTGATGATTAAAAATTGATTTACAGTAACAATAACCTTTTTAAGATAATAACATCTAACTGGTGCCTACAATATGATGGTATGCATATGGAAAATGATATTTTAGAGTTAATTGCTTATTCATAGATTTGCCTTGTAAATAACATACCATTCAACGAACCAGGATAATGGATTTATATGTAGCTGTTCTTTACTGTGCTGTGTTTGTCTCTTTACAAAAGTATACACAACTTTGTAACAAAATATTTCATGTATTTTGATCTCTTGATTCCAGTTCTTACAGTTTTTATACCCAGTAAGGGATCATGTAAAATTCAACAGCTCCAGACATGTCTGGTATCCTATTTTACACTTTCAATCATTACAAACAGCTGTTGACACATTAAAACACCTACATGCCCACATCACAAAGAATATCCTGGGACTCTGGAGATGACAGAAGGTTTGCCAAGACTTGCCAGCTGTGCAGGAAGGTGTCACTCTCCATGAAATGGTCACCACATCCATACCCACTGGTGATAATAAAAACAAAACAAACCTTGAATAATTTTTTTTTCTCTGATAATTGCAGATGACAAATGACACATTTTTGTAATCTTTTTCAGTTATCATATGGCCAACACAATATTTACAAATAAAAGTTTCATATATTTTTTGAAGATTTAACAGATATCTGCAAATTAAAATTTGTTTAAAAATACCACAGTGGTACATTTTGTAGGTCAAGTACATTCATTTTAACAAAATTTGCACCTCAGCCCAGACATACATTTGCAGAGTAATATTGTAGCTCGTGATAAGGACAGAATAATGCCGATCAGATTGAGGGAGGCATGTATCATTATTCATACAAGCTACAGTTGTAATTGTTTTAAAATGCTCCTAATTCTACTGATCACGATCTTACCAAATTTCTAATTCTGGACCTAATCTGTATTTGGCTCCATCCTCTTTAGCTTTCTGTATACCTAGAGCGAAAGAAGTATATATAAATTGTGCCAATATCATATTAATAGTTTTAGCATTCATATTTATAAAAATAAAAGTCGTTATAAATTCTGCATTTAGTTTTATCAACCAATGAACTGACCAATGTCAAACGTTATCGACCGTAGAAAAGATGTAAACAGAAAGTAGACACAGATATAGGTTTTACTTTCTTACTTTCCAAAATTCTTGACATATTCCCTTCAAAATCCATCGCCCATTGATTTAGGGTACATGTTGCAAGTGTTGCCGTTCGCCCCATGTCCTTCAAAATGTACAACACAGGTATCGTTAGCGTCTCAGTAACCGAGCAGGCTTCTGCTTTACGGTCGATTCAGTTTCTTTTCTCGTCTCCTTTAACAGGAGAGTTCCAATCAGGCAAACGCGCAGAGACTGTTCTGGAAACGGGTGTCAGACATCCGCCGTCCCGCACCTCCCGCCCTTCACCCATGATTAAAAAAAGTAATGTGCATCATTACAGCAATATACTCTCATTTTTCCCCGGGCAAATAAACGTTTGAGTCGATATATTTTTAGGGGGCGAAATGGTTAAGAGCAATATGAAAATTATGGGGCGATATGATTGCCAATTCGGGATGAAATACTTTTAAAATGGGGCGTAATGAATAAAAGTTGGGTCGTTAAACAAAGAAGCCCAGTAGACATGTATTTGTATTCATATCGTAGGTTCCAGAAACTGTTCACATGTCAATCTAATAAAGAGTCACCAAATATCATGTCAGCAAATCTCACATTTAACGATAAAATCATCAGTTATTATTATTATTGATTATCATCAGAAACAGATAAATGGATCTAGCAACTTATGAAGTCTCCTCCATAAATGAAATTACAAATAATTAATATACTGCACGTGACACATTCTAAGTAATTCGTAGACGTACAATTGTAAGTTTAAATCATTTTGTCAAAAGGAGGAAAAGATGAGATGATAGGATAGAAAGAAAAGAAGAGAAAAAGAGATAGGATAGATTTTATATCAATTTTATATCAATTCATTGCCGAGTGCCGACTACAAACAGTTCATAATTAGGTAGTGTTGAAACGGTTTGTTTGTTTGATAAACTTTTGAACAGATTTAATAATTAGTTTCTTATAAGTAAACATCACTGTCGCTTCATAAGATAGTTTCTATATTAAAATCTACGTCTAAATCATACAAAGTATCAAACAATATGCGTCTACAATTAGAAAATAATGAACATATAAGGAAATAATATCATCACCACACGGAGAGAGGGGGGAGGGGGAGGGGAGAGAGCGAGAGAGAAAAATATAGATTTTAACGAGAGAGGAAGAGAGAGAGGGGGGAGCGAGAGAGGAGGTTTCCTGTTTAATTTTAGCTAATAAAGGAGGAGTGCCAATTTGGGCCTTCTGGCGGCCATGACCGATATTTTTTATTTCTTGTGTAGGAATTCCTTGGGGTTAGGCGGTCATGATATGACATAAAATTAAGGTCAGATCTGAGCCATTCATTAGTTATGGGGGGGTAAAGTGGGGGGTAAAATTCATAAACAGCTCCATTATGACAAACCTACATTATATTTTTGGATTTTTTCTTCTTAATTTTCATGTAATAATCCATATCAAAACATTCATTAGTAAAATTGATTGAAAAAAACATTCCATTGTTGAAAAGTAGGTCATGGTAATTAAGCTCATTAATTGCTAATTATATTAAAGATGAACTTAATTTTCTGCCTTAATGTACATAAAAACAATACCTTTATCATGTGTCATGCTTTAGTAAGATTTATTTTTGAAAACTTTATAGAAAATGGAGAATTAATTAATGGGAGGGGGCGGGTTCACACTTTTGACAACTTTTGGTTGATATCAGAGTTGTCTTATGTAATTATATTAGATAATAAATATCTAATAAATAAATGTTAAATTGTACTGCATTAAGAACTGTTTAAAATAAATTGCTTGATAAATGTAGAGATATTTAAACCAGTTTGGTACGGCTGGTTGAGCTTTAAGCTAAAATGGTGGGATATAATGCCATCCCCTGACATATACCTTGTTAAGGATCTTTGTGTCTACCGGTGAGTATACATGTGCACCTTGTCTCAGACAGTTCATATACCCTTATATATACAATTAATACGTGGCAACTACACTTCACAACCTCAGCGATTTTAGTATACTTTCTTGGTTTGACTGTCACTGATATTGTACATATAATTTAGACATATAATTGTAATTCAACTGTTGTTCATAATTTTGTTCATCCAAATTAAGGTTTTAATAAGGAGTGTTTTCTAAGTTTATGCCCCGTTTTCTTTTCTTTTATCAATATGCCAGTGCACAGGCAGTGCGCTTGTTGTAAAGCACAATATAAAGTAAGGCTCTGTTGTCTGAATAAAACAGACATTCTGTCTTACTTGAAAGCAAATATTAATGATGCCTTAAGGTTTGGTGACCCCGTATGTAAAAAATGCAGGGGAAGATACTACAATCACCATTCATCTACTGAACATCCTAGTAGCGATGTAGAGCACCAGTTTGAGTCACCTGAAAACAAAAAAAAAAATCAAACTTGACATTCCACGGGCTACATTAGGTGAATCTCGATGTTTCATTTGTAAAATGTTAAGAGAGGAATGTAAAAGTAAAATGGTAATGCTCACAACAGAAATGCGAGTAAAGATTTTTATTAAGACAGGTATCCTTGTCCCAAGCACCTGCAGATGTTGTTCTTCTCACATAGTGAATGGTGATTTCCCATCTGATAGTCTATCTTCACTCGCATATTCCAGCAAAGACACTGAACTGGATTCTTCTGAAATATCAGAGATCCTTTTGACACTTAGGGCAGCTGCTTCAAAGAAAAGTTGTTTAGACTTTGATTCCTCAGATGGATTAACTGATCAAGATTACTACCGTCTCACAGGTCTGTATAAAAATCAATTTTCTGACCTTTTACGATCAGTTAATCCCTCTCTTTACTCTACACTGAACAGAAGCGCAAGGACTGCATTAGCCATCCTGCTTGTAAAGTTGAGGACTGGCATGTCTTTATCAATATTAGCTTCTCTGTTCAACATGACAAAGAGAATATGTGGAAAATGTATTCATTCAGCTCGCCAAGCATTGATGACCCACTTCGTTCCTTCACACCTTGGCCTGCAACACATCACTAGAGAACAAGTAATTCAAAACCATACAACGGTATTTGCAAGGAAGATGTTTGCCTCTGGTGAAGATGTAGCTATAGCTGTTGCTGATGGCACATATATTTATGTTGAAAAGTCCAGCAACTATACTTTCCAACGACGCTCTTTTTCGATGCACAAAGGACGCCCTCTCCTGAAACCAATGCTTCTTGTGGCCTCAGATGGCTATATACTGTCTGTCCTAGGCCCATATTTAGCAGACGGTCGAAATAATGACGCCAACATTACAAAACACATGTTGAAAACTAACACTGAGAACATCAAGGATTGGTTTCAAGATGATGATGTTCTTGTCGTTGACAGAGGCTTCAGAGATGTGACAGAACTGTTGAATGATGCTGGCATCAAAACAGAAATGCCATTTTTCTTGCCAAAGGGGCAGAAACAACACACACATACTGAGGCAAACGAATCTCATCTTGTAACAAAGGTAAGGTGGGTTGTGGAGTCGGCAAATGGGCGGATTAAGCAGTGGAAGACCTTGGGATATGTTTTGCCCAACACTCTCATTCCAGTTGTAGGTGATTTTGTGAGAATTGTGTGTGCAATTTGTAATGCTTTTCGCCCCCCACTTGCCTCTGATTCTCCCAATGACCTAATCATTGCTGAGCGAATGTTGGCTCTGTCAAAATGTCCCAATAAATTGCAAATTCAAGTTGAAAAAGAAGGTTTGGCTAGGAAAAGAGCCATATGGGTCAAGCTTGATAAGGCCAGTTTGCCTGACTTTCCTCAGCTGACAGAACCGGAGTTGAGAGATCTTACCATGGGAGTATATCAGTTGAAGCAGGCAAAGTCATATACCATGGAGCACTTGTCTGAAGATGGCCAGTATGAATTAATGGCATGCAGGGAAAAGCCTGGCTTAATTAAAGTTCAGATTCGTTCCAGACATGTTGCTTCGAAACTGTACAACCTGTGGATTGAGTATTCCCCTGGTTTGACTCCTATATCTGGTTGGTATTGCCAGTGTAAGGTTGGTGCCAGGGTAGTGGGCTGCTGTGCCCATATTGCATCTGTTCTCTGGTACCTTTCTTATGAGCGACACCAGCCTAGGATAGCACACCCAACTGCCTCATCAAGCTACCTCAGCTGTGCTGATGACGCAATGATGATTGAGGACTGGTCTGAGTCTGACAGTGACAATGAGTAACTAACTATGTGTGCGACCATTGTATGTATAGTGGAGTGAAATGCAACACTAGAGGTTAAGATTGATATCTTTCATTAGCCATTTCTGTGTTAATACTTCGGTAAAACCACTAGATACAGATATATGGTCAAAGTTGTCGAACTAAAATTCAAAGCACCGCCTCTTCTTTGTTTTCTTTAAAGTATGCAAAAATATTTCTTATTAAAACATGGTACATGATAAAGGTATTGTTTTTATGTACATTAAGGCAGAAAATTAAGTTCATCTTTAATATAATTAGCAATTAATGAGCTTAATTACCATGACCTACTTTTCAACAATGGACTATTTTTTTCAATCAATTTTACTAATGAATGTTTTGATATGGATTATTACATGAAAATTAAGAAGAAAAAATCCAAAAATATAATGTAGGTTTGTCATAATGGAGCTGTTTATGAATTTTACCCCCCACTTTACCCCCCCCCCCCATAACTAATGAATGGCTCAGATCTGACCTTAATTTTATGTCATATCATGACCGCCTAACCCCAAGGAATTCCTACACAAGAAATAAAAAATATCGGTCATGGCCGCCAGAAGGCCCAAATTGGCACTCCTCCTTTTTCAAATATCGTCAAATATTAAAAACCGCCTATATGGGTCTTGTTAGTGTTCCCCTGCGGCACATAAAAACTGAATACTACACCAAACATTCATTCGTTGCAAAAGTTCATCACATCCTGTGCTGTAGGTAGCTTGCTCCGAGTTCAATCCATTCCTTCCGATTATATCGTTACCTATGTATCGTTGAAAGGACCAGAAATTCGACCGTAAACATTCAAAATACACTCAACTGATGTACAATTAACATATTTAATAAGATTATTAATGAAACTGAAACAAGATTTCTAGGAAGCCGTTAAGAGAGAT